AGAGGCAGGCAGAGAGAGAGAGAGAGAGAGAGAGAGAGAGAGAGAGAGAGAAGCAGGCTCCCTGCTGAGCAGAGAGCCCGATGTGGGACTCTATCCCAGGACTCCGAGATCATGACCTGAGCCGAAGGCAGCGGCTTAACCCACTGAGCCACCCAGGCACCCCTCTATTTTACAATTTTTTAAAAAGAATTTATTTATTTATTTGACAGAGAAATCACAAGTAGGCAGAGAGGCAGGCAGAGAGAGGAGGGAAGCAGGCTCCCCGCTAAGTAGAGAGCCCAATGTGGGGCTCGATCCAAGGACCCTGAGATCATGACCTGAGCTGAAGGCAGAGGCTTTAACCCACTGAGCCGCCCAGGCGCCCCCTACTTTACAATTTTTATCCCTAATCTGTACTCAAGATTAAAATTTAGAGAATAATGTGAATTCATTTATTTTATGTCCAGATGGTTTATTGACTACTAAATGTTTCTGTTTCTTCTAACTCTGTTTCTCTGAAGCATTTTTTGGAGCACAGCTGAATTCCTTTATCCACGTGATTATGTACTCATACTATGGGCTAACTGCATTTGGCCCATGGATTCAGAAGTATCTTTGGTGGAAAAGATACTTGACCATGTTGCAGCTGGTGAGTTAAATGCTTCTAAGGTTTCTTCTGGTGAAACACTGCATATATTTGAATTTGCTGATTTTAAACGGCTAAGTTATCCTTGACAATTTTCTTTTACAAAGTTGACTTTCTGTGTGTTCCAGCTGTGGAAGTTGAGGCTTCTTGGCTCTGAGCTTCTTGTTCATAGACCTAGTTGTCACTGCCATTAATTTTTTTTAATGTTCTTAAAAGACTAAACACAACTCTTGTCTAAGAGAAATGTTGTTTAGAAATATCTGTGAAATGGATGAGTCAAGATCTAAGTACACCATAAAGTATATAGACTCATATATAACCAAAAAAATAATATAAGTTCTCTCTCAGCTGATTTTTTAAGACTTAAAATGTTATTATTACCTCTCTTCATCCTGCTTTTGCTTGAATTTTGTTTTCTATTCTATTTCAGTCCCTGTTAACAGATCCCATACATTCAGGATATAAAAGTTGAAGAGAAGCCAGACAACCGAGGAAGGGGTGGGGTAAAGGAAAGGAACAGAGACAAGAGAACTCCTCTTAATTCTCTAACACATAGTCCTTAGAGAACAGAGTTAGGTATTTTTAAATGCTAACCTTTAGAGCAGATAATTTTCAGCACATACCCCTAGTGGGACTTCTTGTAGCATCTGGGTACCTCAGTGAAATATTCAAGCAAGGTACTGGCCCAGTCATCAAACTGGAAATCCCAAACCAACCTGGTAGCTATTCTTTAAGCCTTGGAATTTATTATAATTTGCTATAATCATAGCATGTGCACAATTTATCAGTGGAATCACATTTGGAAATATTATTCATCTCTGCTTTAAGTTGCTAAACAGCTGGCTGGCCGAACAGGAAACACAACTTTTGGGGAATGCTGGGTGAGAAAGATTCATTTATAACTAAAATGCTACAGGAAGCTTCCTCCAGTTTTTGTGTAAGCTGTTTATATAGTTTGTGTAATTCGTTTCTCTCAGTAATTAGAAAATGGGCACAAGAAAATGAAGAGATGACAGAAGTCATCTGAACTCTTTGTATCTACTTTGTTGGAATCCTCACTTGAGTCTCCTTGAGTGAGGCCATTCTTAGTCACATCTATATACGTAATCCTTTTGGTGATTTAGGTTCTAAGAACCATTGTGAAAGCAGAAGTTCTTAAAATCTGGATTTTGCCATGGAGAATTTAAGGTTTTTTAGTCTGATCTAAATTTGGGGCTTACATAGAATAAATTATTTTAATCATATTTAATATAATAGTTAATATGGATAATGCTATGTTTCAAAGAGAAAACACAGTTGCCCATTCCAGATAGGATGTTAGTTTCATGAAGAGTAGAATATTTCTAAGCCAGAAGTTCTCACAACGGTTAATCATGTAACTTATTCTTGTAAAAAGTTACCCTTGTTTAACACTGTGGAATTCATAATTCCTGTATTGAGAACCACTCATTTATTGATATATTAAAATTTCAACTGATTTGCCTTATCTGAACTACAAAGCATCTTAATTTTGTTTTTTCTTCTTTTAAAAACTTCTAAAGTGGACAGTGAGTCTTTCTGCACTTATTCTCAAATATCTACTAAATTTTACCAAAAATCTTAATTTGTAGATAGCATTAATTCATTTAGAGAGGGAGAAAGAGTGAGTACCTGGGGCCAGGGGTGTGGGTGGGAGGGAGGAGAAGGAGAGAATCTCAGGCAGACTCAGGCACAGAGTCTGGAAATGGGGCTCAGTCCCATGAGCCATGAGATCATGGTCTGAGTTGAAATCAAGAGTTGGACGCTTAACCGACTGAGCCTCCCAGTTGCCCCAAAGATTGTGTTAACTCAAATACAGTTTTACCTGTGTGCTATTTTGTAAGAAATAAATAATGAATCTTTTTGATAGATTCGTTTTTAAAAGCATATGTACCATTCTGCTGATAGTTTTGTGGAAAGAGGTCAGTCTAAAATATGGGAGGAAAGCAAATAACAAAAAGAGTATATGGTACTATTAGTTTATTCTCTTAGGCGATTGATATTCCCTCTTACTAATAACATCATTTAACATTATCCAACAAATATTCTATGAATCCAGACCCTGTGCCAAGGACTCCTCAGGGAACAGCACAGAATCATACTCTCCGAAGTTATATACTCTTGGAATGATGGACAGTCAAAAAGTTCAGAAGTCCAGATGGTTTTGTTCTCAGGAAAAAAGCCCACACCAAACAAAAGCCCACATTAATGGGATTGAGAGGGCCAGGTGGATCGAGTTGCCTGGTCCTCGAAGGCTGGAAGCCTTTGCTGAGGGAATGACATCTGAGCTGCCACCTGATGGATGAGAGGGGGCTGGAGTCTATTGAACTTTGCACAGTGTGGCAAGATTCAGGCCTATCTTAGCTAGATAGAAGATTCTGATTTGTTAAAAGTTACTCACTATTCCTACATTGTTGTTTTGTTTTTCAGGTTCAGTTCCATGTGACCATTGGCCACACAGCGCTATCTCTTTACACGGATTGTCCCTTCCCCAAATGGATGCACTGGGCCCTCATCGCTTACGCGATCAGCTTCATATTTCTCTTTCTTAACTTCTATGTTCGGACATACAAAGAGCCTAAGAAAGCAAAAACTGGAAAAACAGCTGTGAATGGTATTTCAGCAAATGGTGTGAGCAAATCAGAGAAACAACTAGTGATAGAAAATGGAAAAAAGCTGAAAAACGGAAAAGCAAAAGGAGAGTAAATTGAACTGGGCCTTAACTGTTGTTGACAGTGAGGAAGCTCCCATTTCATATGAAATTTCAGGGAAAACAAGCAAATGAGAGTTTGGGGTGGGGAGAAAAAGCAAATGTGCTCTATGTCTTAGTAATCTTTAGATAAAGTGTTAAATGCAATGCCCGGATGTTTTATTTATGAAGTTTTATTTTAAACATTTTTTTTATTAGCTTTGATGTTGTCCAGACCAAACCAATCATTATGTGACTTTGGAGGCTCTCCCTCTGTTCACATCCATTTGTCTAATGCATGAAATTTTTCCATGGATCTTATATACAGTCATTCTTTAGTCTGATGATCACAGAAACACAGTATGAATTTTTTGGCTAAATTACTATTACCTACTGATTACAATCAGTTACCTTATATTTTCTGGTCCAAAGCTGAAACTGTAGATACTTTAAAATTTGCACATTTGAATTCATTTGCTGACTGGAATGGTCGAATCTCTCCACCTCTAGTCTGAATATACCCTTTTGGTTGTAATTAAATTTAAAAAAATCTGATGATCTCTGTAGATTCCTAGAGGCTTGATGATGATGGTGTTGGTGAAAATAAGAAAGAATTACAGTAAAATCCTGTCTAGCGACCCAAAGGTCACCATGACTTGTGGCACAAATCACTGTAGGAAACAATTTTTGTGATGAAAAGGCAGCCTTTCAATACTCCTATTACTATCAGAAATATATTATGAAAATTAAGATTGATTGGAACATGAAACAACTCATGTCTTTATTAGTAACATCATAAAAGAGTTACATTTATGTGCTGTTAGAAGAGAGTATGTTGATTTTTATCAGGCTTTCCTTGTTTTGATTTGTGGCTGTTACCGATTTTTCATATGTAGAAATATACCTACCTCTTCTGTTGGAAAGAACATTGAAAATTAAATAAATTTTAATTAAAAAATCAAGGAGTCCTTTAATGTAAATTTTAATATTAACTTTCAAATCCACTAGTATTTTTTTGCTTTTTTTTACAAATAGCATACACCCAACTTTTCTGTGAAACTATCCTTCTCTTTCAATGTGTTTAATATTGAAGTGTTACTTTCCTTATGACAAAGTTCAAGATCTTATTTATTAACTAGACATGAAGTGTAAACCCATTTTGGTGCAATATTCTTGACTCCTTGGTGCTAAAGATCATTAAATTTAGTGTGTGATTGTTACAAGGTGTTAATTGTTAAGATGCAAAGTGAATAAAAGTGAGAGTAGTCAGAACCAGAAAATGAAGTTTACTATTTACAAATGAAGTGTTTCATGTAATATAAATGAACAACTGGAAATATACTAGCAAAGAGAACTTGTACATTGTCTTATTGCATAGGTTAAATTGTTAAGAGATGTTGACCAGGGATCATTACAGAAAGAGAACATGTGACAAAAAAAAAAAAAAAAAAAAGCATGACTATTTCTAAGTATCTCAACATGTCAAAACTGCATGTGCAGGATGTATGCTGTTTGTGCAGACAAACTATTTTAGAATATTTTGTTAACTATAAAATATTTATTGTGCATTAAAATTATACACTTTTCCCCCTGAAGGCATGCAGTCATGAGAAATACAGAATATTTGCAACACTTAAAATGGTTTGACCTGAAAGGTTTCGACCCCTTTGTCTTTGCTTCTCGGTGTGTAATGACTAGAGATCTGTAAATCTTTGTGAACATTCTGTACTGGTTCCCCAGACCAATTCATTCCCTGCTACCTGATTTCAGCACAATAAATATACAACTGCTGTGGGAAAAATGATTTTTTTTTGTTAATCAGTTTATTACATAAACCATCTGCTAGATGTTTATTTGATTCAGTTGTTAATATTCAAATATCTTTTCTGCTGCTAATTTCTACTGTAGAAAAGAAGTGTAACTAGAAGATTCCTGGAGAAAAGCTTTTTTTTTTTTTTTTTATGGTGGCGTATTTTTGCTTTAAAAATTAGTTGCCTTTGGAAGAGCTTTTGGATCCAGACATAAAACATATAATTTTCTTCTAAACTACTCTTATATTTGTCATTTCAAATGTAAGCTTTAACACTTTTTAATGCTCTGGGGTTTTCTTGTTCCAAAAATAAGGTGGAGGAGGTCTTATGTTCTTACATTAGATCATTCAGCTCTTACTACAGTTTTTTAGGTTCTTTATCTAAGATGACTCTAAGCTGTGATATGCAACATGTTCTGGTAGCTTTCATAATTTCTCAGGTATCACACTGAGTTGCATGCCTCATACCTAAAAATCAGTGGAAGTGGACTGCATCCTTCCTTTTGGTAAAACTTTGTCACTAACTAAAGAAATGTTTTCTTACACAGAAAAATGGAATTTATTAAATATTTTCAATGGCTAGAAATACCTTAGGCATGTACAGTGCATTTTCCAGTAGAATCATCAATTTCTGTATCTTCTTTTTTCTCTTTTCTGTGTTACCCTTGACTTTGTTTTGCTGATGGATACTGAATGATGACTGGTTTCAGTTTTAGCATTATTAATTCAGTCATTCTTTTTTTCTCTCTTTTTGCATACTTCTGGGTATTCAAAAATATTTTCATATGGACTTTTATATTCACATTTTAGAATATAGAATCTAGTGTTTTGTAGTTTATTAGGAATATTTTAATTTACAGATGTGTTTCAGATATGCAGCTCAGTTATCCTATAAGTAATGAGAACATAGAGGTGGAAGTGATTTTTGCTGCCCTGTCCATCTGATAATATGACAATCCAGGCATTACATTCATACTGATGATTGGGACCTTTGTGAGAATGTGACATCATGCTGAGCTGTCCTGCTCTCTCAGCTCATGTCTTCTTGTAGCCTAAAGCTCAGCCAGCTGAATGCCTAACACCGTCCTTCTCGAGAAAAAGATGGCCACAGATTGTGTAGGAGCTCAAATGGAGTGCTAGGTACAGACCTGGGTGAGGTGAACTTGGGATCCTGCTAGATGGTCGATAGGGCTGCAGGGCTGAGGTGCTGAGCTACACACACAGGAACATAACACCTGCTTCCTGATCCGGTCACCCCCCTCAGCATGCAAGCGATTTTGACAAGTCACCTTGGAAATCAAGTCCTTAATAGTATATTTTAGAATCCATGCTTAACCTTAGGTATTTTAGGCAGATGCCATCTGAACCAGAAAAGCAGTTATGAAGAGGCAGAGAAATATAAACAGATTTCATTGTTTCAAAACACAACAAAATCATAAAACTATTAGAAGTTGGTTTTCCTAGTTCTCTCCCGAATTTCCTAATTTCCTTCCTAAACTACGGAGGGAAGACGCAGCTGTAAATTGAAAGGCATACATTTTTTTTTTTCAAGTTTTAAAAATAGGAGGATGTAACATGATTCTACATATCTGAAGGGGATTCAGGGGTATAAGTTAAGAATTATAATTGACGTATAGAACCACTCAGATAAAGACTGAGATTCTAGATTATTTCGTTAAAAGAGTGTGTGAGTTACGAAGAAGGTGGTCAATAGCTGTCTTTAGATGATGATTAATTAATGGGAATTTTAGGTTTGGAAGGGATGATCTGAGGTAAATACATCTTAGTGTTCACTTAACTGACTGAGCCACCCTGAAGTCACTAACCTTTTTTCTATCTGTTAAGAAAAAAAAGACCTAGAACTTAGGTCTCCTTTTCTCTTTGTCTTCTTCATTTTACCAGATGAAGGCATGTTTACATGTCCACATGTGAACAGATTTCCTTCATACTTTCACTCCTTGGAGATCCGTCCTGTCTTAAATAGAAATTCAACAGAATTTTTTCTCTTTTTCTCACTCTCATAGATGAGGTTCTCCCAGGGCTTGTGTCCTTAAAGTAGTATCTCCTTTGAGAATAAATACATGCTGAAACACACCATTTGATATCTATCTACCTAATTATAATAATCTAATGCAGCTACCAGAAGGTCACATTGTAATTGAACATCTACACAGAGAATATGTCCAAATTAAAAGCCATTCGAAAACTAAATTATCTTGGAAGGTTTAAATAATACAGCCATTTCTAAAAAGGGTGTGGAAATTATTGGGTATTTCCCAATTTAAATATAAGACTGAGTTGTAAAGAGAATTTGTCAGTCCACATGCATATTCCATATATTCTGTCTCTCTCCAGGAATCCCTGGATACCTTCTCTGCAATTTGAGAGAAGCTAGTTAGGTTGCTCTTTTTCTCAGTTTTAAAGTTTTTCTTTGTATTTGCCTTTGGGAAAGAGGAAAGCGCCCAGTTGAAATTCCTTCCTTGTCATCCCTGATGCATCATATTTAAACTGAGTTTCTCCTCCCTGTGAGGAAGCTATCCTAAGAACCAGTCTTTCAGGAATACTGATTACCTAGCTATTTGGTAATGAGAGGGTGGTAGATTATGTGTCTCGCACAGGAGGTAGCATTATGTTAGTGACACTCACACCTCACCTTTGAAAGTGGCTTGTGTTCTAATTTAGTTATTCTGGGAATCAAATACAATGTTTACATTTTTATAAGTATGTTATATAGTTGGGGTTTATCGGCTGTACAAATACAGTTGGATTTTAAATTAAAAAAATTTTTTTTCAGTTGGATTTTAAATATGTTTTTAGTTAAGTCCTCATAGTGAAAATTTAATAAAGATTTACACAATCACAAAAGAACAAATAGCTACTCTTAAAAGCTGTATTTATTCGCGAACATGTAAGTGTTTTCATTACGCTTGAATTATTACTGTCGGCCCACGTAAACGTGGCGTCTGGTCTTTTTTCCAGAAAGAAAAAGATTATGGGAGGCTGTGAGGCAAAAAGAAAAGACAGAAGAAATTGGGGAACACATTTCTAATTTATAATTACAGTAGAGATTTGGAGTTTACATACGAGCGTCTATCCTACATATTAACTACTTCAGAAAGCCAGCACCACGTTAGTTTGCTAGATGTTAATTGGTTTTATGAATCCATCTCTATCCCCTCAATATGTCTCCCTTCTTCCCTCCCCCAGTGTTACAGAGTCTAAAGAAATAAAAATTACATTTCTCAGATTCCCTCACAGATTTAGGTTATGTCAACAAGAGGCACTCGTGAAATTTTTGGAAGGCATAAGGGAGGTGGATGCCATCCTTCTGTAGTAATGCAATTATATAAATGGGCTCCTTACAGACATAGGTGTTGGCAGCCCTGAATTACGTGATCCACTGTCTTGACACCACTTTTATAAATCAGGCGGTGGTAATGTGACAGTGATCATGGCAGATGTGGTCATACTAATTTGAAGTCAAAGACTAGGGTGGCCTTCTGACTCACTCCTCCAAGTCACCAATAATCTAATCCTTTGAATTAAAGTACTTTCTGCTTGAAATACCTGAGGGGTATCTATTTCATACAGTGACCCTTATCTAATTAAGTAGTCAGTGCCAGAATTTGATCAGGAAAGAGACTGTTGAAGATACTATGAAATTGGTTATTGACCTACTTGAGTTTACAGACAGTGATAACTTAATGACCACTGGGAAATGGGATACTGTTTTCCACGTAGCAAATACCTGATTTTCACCTGTGACCTTGTGGAATGAAATCATTATTGCAGGGATGCCTGGGTGGCTCAGGTCATAATCCCAGCGTCTTGGGATTGGGTCCTGCACCAGGCTCCTTGCTCAGTGGGGAGCCTGCTTCTCCCTCTGCCTGCAGTTCCCCCTGCTTGTAGTCTCTCACTCTCTGGAAGTAAATAAATAAAATCTTAAAAAAAAAAAAATCATTATTGCAAGCAAAGCCTTTCACCAAACAAGTGACTGCTGCATTGTAGTATTGTGATGGAAATGAGGAATATAGAGATTTGAGTGAGATAGTTGATTCTGATTGCCCTGCAGCACTTACAGAAAAAAAATTAGCTTGTGTCTTAAATTCTTGGCTGCCCTACAAGGCCCTGTTGTATTTTGTAGGTACAGTTCTGAAACATCTTAAGACAAGATCCAAAGGGTGATGATTCAAAGTGGGCTGCAGAATTATAACTTAAATTCACAGCCTCAATAGTTTTCTATGCAAAAGTTGTGGCACTAATTGGGAAGGGTTGGAGGGGTAGGTACCTGAAGAATTGGAATGGGGACACTTAGATAGACTGAGATGAATCTGAGAACCTGAATCTCTAAATCCCATTAAATATCCCTGGCCAAGAAAAGCAGCCCATCCTCCCTTGTCAGGTAACCTCAGTTCTTTATTGCTTGAGATCCTGTAATGGCTTCAACCAAGGTA